TTGACAGCTCCTCTGAATCGGGCGGTTATATGGATTACTTAAAAATATTTGTCAACTCAGCCAATCCAGATCTCGCTCACACGGGAAATCAAAATGAGGAAACGGATCCAACCACTTACGCAACTGCTTCTGCTCCGATGGAAAGCTCAAATGCAGGTAGCACAACTCTCGACAGCGAAGAGTGTCACCATCCCAGTAGCTCAGACTTTGATGCAGGTAAGTGTTTTTGATGTGTTTCTGAGTGAATAGAGTCTTTTGCCGCAGAATTTCTGCTTGTCTAAGATTTTCCAGCATTATTCTTGCAGGTCGTGATTTTTGATGCCTGGGCATTGTTTTTGGATGAATAGTGTTAGGGAGTTATTATCCGCACATTTTCACAAAGTTTTCTTCAGGGGGTGCAGGTCACCAACTGTTGTCGCGGAATAACCAGTAAAGAAGTCGCCACAAAAAAAATAGATATATACTCTGCCTCTGAGAGGCGTTCAAGAAGAAGGTATGTCCTGCCTTGAAAGGCTGATACACAGTAGATGTGTTACCAGTCTGATACTGGAGCACAAGGACAGGTGGTGCAGTGCGTACCACGTCGCGTCCGGATGTGAAGAGAAGTAGTTCGATTCCCTCCCGGTCCGTAACAATTTTTGACAAGGGGCTCCGTTCACGACAGCTGCGCTCAAATTGGGTAGTGGAAGCTTGAGGGTTCGACTCCGTTATTAGGGCAGCTACTTCATTTGTGACACTTTGTGTTGATAATAATTGTTACTGGCGCATCCAGACAATCATAACCGTTATGGGCCTGGTTTTAAGTAGCAGTCGAAAGATGAAGCCATCAGCAGCCTTGCTAGCAGGTGATCACTACTAGCATGTGTTAGCGCTTGAGTAAATATCTCGGTACCTCCGCTTCTTACCGTTAAATTTCAACTTTGACATAGAGCTAAATAACGTGAGGTTAATTATCGGGCTGAAAGCAGTTAGAAATGTACAGACTGATTGATGGACATTTTTGACTCTTCTTGCACTGCTGTTGATGGGAATTTACGTTGGTACACAGCAAGAGCAGTAAACTGAGGTAGAATAAATGCAAAAAATAAGAGAAGCGAAAGCGGAATCTTACTTCAAAACGCTACGATGCATCCGTTTCTCCTTTGCTGTCTACATTTGATTTTGCTTTATCCGTCAACGACGCTCACTTTGTTCTGTTCAGCATGCCAGCCGGAATCTCCAGCACCTGTGGCTTGCAACGATTATAACAATCATCAGGAGAATCAGCATCAGCAAAATCAGCATTCACGAACCAGTTCATCAGGTAATCTTAAAACTCTCTCGGCATGGCTAATGTTGCGCCGCCATAAATTTTAATGACAAGATAACCGTGTTTTTTCATTACCTCTTCGTACTGAAATAAAGTACGCATAAAAGAGTGTACAAACGAAATAATGATATGAGAAGGATAAGTGATAACAAGCTTTTAGTCAGTAAGATTTCGTGATCTAAGAAACCCAGTGTTTGAGAATAGTTGATGATGTTTTATACACACCAAATTCATTTCGAAATGACCACTGTTTTCTATCCTAAGAGCAATTAGTTGCAATCCATTCAAAAGACGAAACGAACTTCAGGAACTTGAGGCAGGCTGATCACTAACATTCGTCAAAACAACCAGAAAAGTTGTCAGCTGCACAGCTGATGGATCACGATCAAAGCAATATCAGCAAGTGGAGTAGCTGGAGCATTAAAAAAATCTTTTTCTTATTCCAGGCTTACAAATGAAAACATCATCGCCGACATTGCCGAATTCGTTGAATCGAGAAGCTGCTATTGAAAAAATGGAGAATTATTTCAGTCGCAGTACTCCGGAACAAATTCGACGCTACATGCAGCGCTTGCGACAGACTGTAAATCGTCGTCTTGCTGAGGAGGCGGTGGATCTGATTGCGACATTGGGCAGTGATGAATGCTCGCAGTTTCTGAATGAAATTGATGATGATGCTAGTGGTACCACAGAATGATAGCTTTTCAGGAAATATTTTCATTCAACTGTTAATATTGTATTTGCATCTGATTTCAATTGCTGTACGTCAGGTAAGCGCACCTTCGACAAGGAGCAAGTGATACCCATACATTTCCAACTCGCTTCGTCTCTCAGTGCATTGGATCTCAGTTATTTTGCTTAAAGTGATGGGCTTTTGTTACATGTAATATGCTTTGGAATGAGATATTTCATATTTGGTTCGTTCTGTCTTCTCTGAATTTTTTATTTTTTTCTTAAATTTCTCACTGTGGCCTGTTTGTTACATTTTTATTCGTCTCAACAATGAACCATGCCTAGGAAGCAAGTAACTTTATTTATTTTTCAAAATGTCCCCGAATTTTCCGCCTCACATTTTTGCACGCATTCCATTTTTTACTTTCATTTTTCCCTTTTTTTACTCTTATGAATCGTTTTTCTATGTTGAGACGTTAAGCGGTACTGCAGAACAGTAAGTGTTTTATGTTTCATCTTTAATGCTAGGTTTTGCTTCCTTGCAAATCCTGTAAAAGCTTTGCAAGTCAAGCCGATTTTTAAGGGAAATAATTTCAAGGCCAGCACGAGGCAATTTTTAATGTTTCGAAAATATCCCTTTGTCCCGGTCACTCATTGTGAACAGCAAAAGCCCTGTTGCAAGATTGTAATTAAATATTTTCCTGGACCACTTGAAACTAAATTTTAAATTGAACTTAGAAGAATGAAGAAGAATTGTTACAATTCGGAAAGGCTTGAATGATTATCAAATTAGAAAATTCTTTTTTTCTGCAAAAAATTGAAAAGAAATGTTTCAGTCCACAAAATTGTATACATTTTTTGCCAGCGCCACAACTGGATCTCGCTAGTACGACGGTTGCGGATTTATCCAGAGCGCTGTTTGACAATCTCGCTTTCACATTTTTTTAACTGTTCGGTTTCCTGTTTCATCCAGCTCCACTTGTGCAGTAACCGAAGAAATTTGGAGCAGTCCTAGAAGTAGTCTTATGAGACATTACTGACTGTTGAACTGAGGCCCACTGACGCGCCCAAACATCCAAAAAAGCGCATGGCATGTACTGAATGCACCCTGTGCGTTGTTGTTCACTTTAATGTGATATTTCTTATCTGTCATAAAAATTTGTAAAAAGTGCTTGAGGCGTCGCGAACACATTTCTGCTTCTGTAATATCTAGTTTTTCAGGTTTTTATGCTTTTTTGCCTCTACAGCGATAAAAACCGCATATTGTCAAAAG